CGACCCGTTTGACTAAAGACATTTCCGCTTAGGCATGTAAACGTCATATATGAGTCTATTTTTGAAATGAATCTATATTGTGGGTAGGGATCTGGGATGGATTATGGGTAGAATTGAACCAGGTTTTGGCTAAGAGAAAGTTTCCCTCTATTTTTCTCTCTCTTGATATCTTTGATCTGTTTTCTGCCAAATGAATGGCACAGAGGGTTGGCATGTTGGAAAATGTGTGTGTGTGTTCCTGCACGCCTGACACCTCACTGGATGAGAAAATCCCATAATACCTATTTACACTGAACCAGCAATGTGACATGCTCCTTTTGATCTTTTATTTTCATAAGTAATTATTTTAGTTTTTTTTTTTTTACAGCAAAATATGATCTTTCCCTGTACTTTTGTAAAAGAAGAGAGAAAAAAAAAAAAGTTTAGACAAATATTTTTGTTACCATAGCTGCTTTGAAGCTCAAGGTATTTTCTTAAAGAGTTTCTTACTGCTATCCATAAATGGCTGCTGTGATGATAGCAAATATGTTGATATAACGGGAAATATTTCAAATATAACCTCTGACCTTAAAGGTCTGGAATGAAATGTAATACTATTGATCATTTCTAATGCAGAGATGGATAAAGGAACAAGAGAAAGTCGATTCTTACTGATGTTTGCCGAACAGTAACAGGTCAAGTTTACAGTTATATGTAGGGATGTTTTTCTTTCACTAGCCTAGTCAACTTGCTGTTTAAAGGTACACATTGTGCTGTTTACTTCTCTCCACTGGACGTCAAGAGTCCATCTTGCCCTGTAGCTTATCAAAGCTATTGTACATAACCATAATGTGTTCTTATTTTCTATCACAGCATCACATTTTTTACTCAACATGTATTAGCGGCATCATCATGATTTCCTTGTTACTAATATTACTATACATGTAAACACCATTGATTTATGATTAAAAAATTGCCACCGTTCAATATTTATGTGGAGCCACTGATCAATGCTATTAGTTTCACTGGAGACTGACGTAATATTATACGCTACCGTTCAAAATTTTGGGGTCAGTAAGATTTTTATTTTGATAAGAAGTGTCTTAGGCTCACCAAGGATGCATTCATTTAGGGCCATCCTTAGGGGGGTGCAACTGGTGCGGTCGCACTGGGCCCCGGCTTGAGGGGGCCCCATGGCGAATGGACCGAGGGGGACCCACACCCCTCCCCCCACCCGGAACGCGATCGCGAACGGACCGAGGGGGGCCCCACTCCCTACCTCGCACCGGGCCCCGTGTCAGCCAAGGACCGCCCTGCATTCATTTTTTCAAAAGCAGTCAAAAACTAATTAAAATTTGAAATATCTGTTTTGTTTTAATATATTTAAACTTTTTTCTGAAATGGCAATGCTGAATTTTTAGAAGCCATAACACCAGTCTTAAGTGTCATATTATCTTTCAGAAATCATTCCGATATGCTGATTTGGAACTTATTATTATTAGTTAATAAGTTTTATTATTAGTTGGAAATGGTTGTGCTGCTTAATGAAGTCTGGAAGTGTTTTTTATTATTGTTCTTTAATGAATAGAAAGTTCAAAAAAGGTCAAGAAAAATAAATCTTTTGTAACATTATAAATGTAAGTCATTATAAATGTCTTTACTGTCACATTGGGTAAATTTAATGAATCCTTGCTGAATAAATTAAATTTCTTACAAAAAAAAAAAACGTACCGACTCCAAACTTCTGAACAGTAGTGTATGTTCATAATATGTTTATGTGATAGTTGTATGTACAATGACTTAAAACATGGAATCTCTCATTATTTTAGAACGTGACTAAACTCCTAAACTCTTTACTGAGGACTGACAGTTAGACAGGTGTCTTTCTGCATTTAAAACCTTAATCATGCCTCAACAGTCGCTTCACCTTTGATCCATTTTCTTCTTCTGATGTCCTCGCTTATTTGTGTTTTTATTATTTGTGAAAGGGTGCCAGGTGAAGACGTTTTCTTTGTGACTTGCTTCAGGAATGTTAACATCAGGCTAAATTTGCCAAAATAGCTTACTTAAGACTCTTATATAACACATGCTTATAAAGCAGAGCCCCAACTGCCTGATTGAAACATCTTTTATCAAGCTCTGCGGGATAGGTTTTTGTTGACCTGCAAAGCACAACTAAGCTTTTCTTCCTTTTTAGAGCCTTATTCATTAAAAAAAATTGATCCCTGTGGTCAAAATACTTAATACAAACGGTGTGTCTCAGAATAGACGAGGTAGATGTGTTTGTGTGTGGATGCACATTCAAGAAGCAACATTCAAACACACAGTAACAGCTGACAACATGTTTTAAAGGAATAGTTCACCCAAAAATTGAAAATCGGTAATTTATTCACCTTATCACCCTTATATGTTGTTCCACAGAAGCAAGTCATACAGTTTGATCATTAAATACATTTTGGGGTGAACTGCGCCTTTAACAATTGAATGTCAGAGAAAATTAATGACGCAAATATGGTACTTATTTTGTACAACTTTTACTAAAACGGTGCAGACTGGAACCAACCAACTGAAAACAACAACGCTTGTCTGACAAGGCACTGCAGCCATGAGATTGAGTTCATAAAACTTTGTCTTTTTTTCTCTTTCATTTTAAATGAACCACTACAACAGTATTTACAGAAAGAGATGTACCCTAAAGAACTGAGAACTGTGACATGCCCATGTCACACCAGAGAAATAAAATACCAAAGAAATCAGAGAAACATTTTAGATAATCAGTGAGGCAGATATCTAACATTGCTCATTAGGCTGTTGAACCACAGTCGCCCAAACAAAGTGTTTGCACCAGAATAAAAGTCGTTGTTACGGACCCTGTATGAATGTCAAAAGCATTACTAATATTGGTTTAGTATTACATGTACAAGTACATACAAAGAGCCAACAAAAGAGCTGTTTTCTGTTGTTGAATCATGTCGTTCTCAAATTTTGAAAAAGAAACAATCCTGACATATGTTAGTTGGGAAGAGTTAGAGGAACAGAGGATTCATTCTATTCGCTTAACAATTAAAAGCGCCAGACATTAGAGTTAAAAGCAAGCTGGAGGGTGAACAGAAACTGCCAACACACTCTGGATGTGGTAAGCTAGTAAAACTCCTTCAGAGAGCAAGAATAGAGGAGCACTATTCATGGAAACTGGCCTTGAAAATGGTTTAATTTTACAGTGTAAATCAGACAAAACCACTCCATATCTGCCAGCCAGATTTGTCTGGTAAGAAAGCGAAATTCACACAGTAGTACCAGTATTTCATTCTTGCATTTAGCCCGTATTAACATGTCTTTGATATTAGCTCAATGTACAAAGTGAAACAAGCTTAAGTCTTTTATACTATCGATTGCTGATGTTATTCATCGCTAAAAGACAGTAACCTTTTTGCATATCTTGCCTCTTTTCTTGACCAGGCTGACTCGTTTCGCTTAAAGCGTTATGGACGTGCACGCTTAGAGCCAGGCAGCCTCAAAAACAGTTGAAACTTTCTGACAGATGACCTTGACATATTGATATATATTTACAGATTACAGTGGGGTTAGTGCATGAGTTATTATATTTATATTTAAGGTTCTTTTAGGTGAAAAAATTCCCACACTCATAAACTCTCATTCTATACAAAGAGGGGAAAGGCTCGGCTTGGAAGTGAAAACGATAGTATTTATACAAGATTAATACAATATCTCTGACAGTTTCATACAGTTGTCCTCAAATACTATGCGATGCCTTAGCGATATATTAATAATCTCTCTTTATTTCATTCATCTCAAATGGTTCTGTTTCTATTATGGAGACACAGGAAATGAAAAGCGCTTTGATGGGATTTCCTTCAGATCTTTGCTATTGAATAAAACCTGTTGCATTCTTTAAAAGACGATCGAGTTTGTGTAAATACTGCAATATGTCTCCTAACAGGTATCAGGATACCTCAAAGAAACCAAACATAGCTACAATTTGAGTTTAGGCATATGAACTGGTGCAGAATATTTAACATCCAATCCTGGACACAATGCCGATTCACTATTACTAGACTTTATGACAGCGTCTCTCAACAACTTACATCCATTTTACAACCGAAAACAAAAGAAGTGAACTAGATTAGTCATCAAACACGAGAAAATGGGCAGCAGGAGGGTAAGTCAACTCACTGTCAAGGCCTCCGTCAACAAGTTACTGCCCTTCTGTCAGCTGAGTGTCAACAGTCTGCCTGCCAAAAAAAAAACACGTGCCTCAGAGACTGCAGTTATTCTAACCGGCGAAACCATGGTTTTAAAAAAGGGTCAATTCATCTGAAAAAAAAAAACTCAACTCCAATTTCCATAGTAGTTCTTGTCTCCTCAGGTACCCCATCAAAACATGTTCTACTTCTAAATAAACCTCGTACAATCCTCGTAAATGTAATAAATAAATAAATAAATAAATATGTGCATTGTGTCAATAAATTAACCCACTACCAATGATAAGTAAAAGCAAATAAATACGTAACAACTTCAATGATTCAAAAGATAAAGTCACACAAGGTAGTGAGATTAAAAGTCTCAGGGGATCTCGCCTGGATAAGCAGCAGCTGATAACCCTGATTAGCTGTGACCCCCCATTAAACAGGTCACTATATACAAGAAGAGAGATCGACTTTCTGAGGTGAGTGCTAATGTTTATGCTAATGTGTCTTTTAGTAGATATAATCGGTTATCGTTAAAGCCTAGAGAATTTAGGGTGGGATAGGGTAGTGTCCACTTTAAAGACAGTGATGTTGGAATTATCTCGACATAGTTTCCATCTGTTTCGTTCTACACTTTTTTGGAGTAAGATTAGCTTCATGTTTGAATCAAAGATGTTTATAATAATTGGAGAAAGCGAGCAATCAATTAGAATTCTCATTCATCTCAACTGTACACAAATTAAAAGTTCCTTATTGGCAAAATGGTTAGAACTGTTCATTGCAACATTCTTTGGATATATGGTAATATGGTTCTTCTATGCAATATGCTTGGTTCTATGCTCTAGGAACCGTTGTTTTTAAAAGATAGTTATTAAGTCAAAATATGTTGCTAATTTTGAATGGCCATCACTTGAGAAATATGCTTTTTGCATCCAGATGATGTAGTTCAGGCATGTACCAGCAGGGGTGCTAACCAGCCAAACCAGTGGTTTGAGTGGGACAGCATGCCTGAAATTTCAAAGTTCACTAGTACATTTCTGTACAATTACCTGAAGAAAAAAAGTGGCAAATTCCATGCACTGCTACCATATCTGTCCACAGATGATTATAATATTCAGAGGTAAACACATTTCACTAGTTAGAACTTAGAGGTTGCTTTTAAATAAATTATTCGCCAATCTAAGACTCCAAAATTGTGCACCATGCCATTTATTCTGCCACTTTGCATGTGTTGAGTTTGAGAGTAGGTGAACATTAAAGTCATCAACATCACAGCAGACCCATCTGAGATGATCTGAGCAGCACATTAATCTCCTGAGTGAACAAATGCAGGGTTCGGTATGGGCTATGGAGTGGGTTGGAAAAGAACAAATGACTGGTTTCTGCGAATTCCCCTGCGGACCTGTATTCTACATACCCAGTGATACAATGAGGTAGGCACCACAGATGAGCACAACTGTGAAGGTGAAGAAATCAGCACCTCTGAAAATAAAAAGAGGCGCTACTAATCTAAAACCAGACATGTGGGTCTTGCTTAATGGGAAAGCAAAACTGCTAGATGAAGAGAGACTACTGTAATAAGCTTGTGTGGGATGTTTGTGATCACTTTAATTACACTGGCCTGCCTCTGCATTTGATGCAAATCACTGTAAACCGTATTCATCAGATGTATTTAAAAGCACTCGGGCTGAAAGAGACACTGCACCCGTACTGTAAGAAACTATGGTAGAACTGCCATGCTGTCCGCTGCTGTAATGGTTTGGCCTGGTGACAAGTAAGCAATGACGTGCAGTTTCAGTCTGTGAAAGGCTGTCACGTGGCCCAGCTGCATTATGGGATCACTCGGAGATCTCATCTTCATTTGAATCAGGATTAATATGGAAACCTGCACATAAGCCACTAATGTCAATTGACATCAAAATGGAATTAAAATAAAACAGGCAGATGAAAAAGCCAAACTATCTTTTGTACAAACCACAGTCCCTCTGAACTATATTAAAATGTATGAGCAGTTCCGATCCACCCCGCTCTCCCCGACTCAAATATCTGGAAATGTCTTTAAAAGAGCAATCTGCTGGGAAAAAATAACCTCCTGACTTCTGATTATGCTGGTTCCTTTCAAAGGACAGTACCTCAATACTGTACCTTCACCGTACCTGGATTTCCGTCTTATTCAAAGAGTCCGAAACCTCGAACTCATACCATGTTTCACAGTAATCCTTATCATCAAAAATAATACTTAAAAAAATAATATTTAAAAAAGAAAAGACAAAAAGAGAACTGCATGACAAAAAGCAAGTAGCGTTGATGTGAAAATCTACGTAGCTGTTCATCTCTAAAGTTCTTGATTTTTTCCCTTGATAAGACACAGAGATGGAGCGGCAGCACCACTGAGGGGAGCGAGAAACCCGGATGCCGCTGGACAAAAGCGAAGAGACCCTGTTGCAGTGGCTCCTTAACCTCGTTCTTTCCCTTAAACGTTTCGGTTCCTCTCTACCTTTCCCTGGATATGAGAGACAGCTCAAACAGGCAGCGCACACCTTCGTCACTTCAAGATAAACCGTTTTGGATGAGACATGGAAGCTAGTCTCACAGTTCAGTTGGAGGAACATGTTTCATGTATGTGTGGGGGCTGATTCCTATGTTTTATGTTATTTAATGAAAGATCTAGCCTCTGACCCACTGCGCTTTGTACATGATCCCTCTCGCTCGTCAGTCCAGGCCCGTTCCGACCTTTTCTTTCAGATTTCCCTTTTTATTTTCCATGTCAATGATACCTATTCACCCCTCCAGAAAAAAAACAAAAACAAACTTCCATTCAGTTTCTCTCGTTGATTCTTCCTGTGGGTCCAGGATGAAGAGGGGTTTATCATCAGTCTGTAGGAGGAGGTTTTGGTGATGTGGTGGGTGCTAGTGCCCATGAAACTCTTTGCTCTACTCGATGACCATGCAGCGCGGCAGATGCTGGGAGTAGTATTTGAAGAGTTCGGCTGTGGCGCCAGGGCAGTTGGTCAGTTCCAGCTCCTCTAGGTCCTGCAGTTGGATCAGGCCTGACAGGCCAGTAGTGGTCAGCAGAGGGCACCCTGAGACAGAGGAAATGAGAGCTGGTCAAATACAAAAGCTAACAGCCACCTCCACTCAACTGTTCACTTCCTGTTTATAATGCTGTGTGACAACAACACCACTTTTTACATCACAGATGATGATTCCCAAACAGAAAGATTTCAGTTTTGCTTTGTTAAACCTATATAAATGAAACTATGAAACATATATTGCTGTCAAAAGATGATAAAGATAAATGTATAGAAATATTTTTTTCAACTAATAGCTTAAAGCATTTATTTACTTCTTAAGGAAATAAAACAAAATCAATCCCATGAAATTGTGTGGATGCCATGTATAGTGTAGTAAGTGTACTATGTATCAAGCTAAATGAAGTTCAACTAACAGATATGTTTCAGTTTGAGAGGAAGTGTTTTCAACCACAGAAATTAAAAGTTTGTTGTTTAAAAATGAAGTTTATCATGTTATATGACAGTGACTATAATGTTAGTTAAAAATAAATTGCTTGGTCTGGATGAAGGGGTACTTGAGCCCTTTGAATGAAGCTATGTGGGAAAAAAATCAGGAAACACTGGAATAGAACATCCTTATGCACAGCTACTGATAGAACAGGCAGATATTTCTGATCTGCAAATGTAATTTTTGAGGGATTAACTGAGCTTTCTTCCATAACATGATTAAGCTCAGGTATTCATAGAAACAATCTATTTCCAAACATACAGTGTTATTTCATTATAGTACTTTATCAGGACTTTATCAGTGCATCCTGCAGTATCAGCACTTTTTACCTGCTAGAGAGAGAAGACGAAGACTCCTCATTCCATATAGATGCTGTAACCCAAAGTCTTGCACCTAAAAGCACACAGGGGGAGCTGACATGAAATTTCAAGCAGATTTGGTGATGTGACATGCTATAAATTATCTAATATATATATATTTTAACCTAATTGTGATTAATAAAATAGTTAACTGATAACTTATATATCAAATACCCATAACTTTATTATCATAATAAGACTATCCCATTAAGCTGACTGAGACAGTTGCACAGACACTTACCTGACAGCACCAGCGCAGGTAGAGACTTCTCAGAGTTGACATGGTAGATAAGTAACCCAGGCCTGTATCTGTGATCCGCACACACCTGAATACAGACATATAAAAAACTGTCATTTTACTTCCGGACTTTGCCATCTATAGGCACACAATATGATTGTGATAATCATTCTTTCCATAATGTATCAAAATATCATGGTATTATAACCATCAGATAGCATCACTGTATCATAGCACTCAATGGACATTTTTTTCTTCTTCTTTTTTTTAATTGAAAACAAGAAACAGATCGATTATCATAGGAGTTACAACATCAAATCACAATACATTTTTGATGCACAGTATCACTCATTATCTGCAATGGCATACTCTATCCATTTTTCCCAATACTTATTACATTTTTCTAAATTAAGTCTTAAAGTAAGTGTGAGTCTCTCCATACAGTATATCTCATTTACAATTCTTATCCATTGGGCCCTTGCTGGAGGATCAACCTGCAACCATTTACAAGTTATGGCTTTCCTGCTACTTGCTAAAAGTATTTGTGTTAAGTATCTATCATTGACTGGGATAGTTTTTGGTATTTTCCCTAGGTATAATGTAATGAATGAATAGTCAAACTCTTCTCCAATTATCTTTTTAATTTCAGCTGCTATTTCGTACCAGTAAGCTTGTATTTTTGGACAGGCCCAAAACATGCGAAAGTGATTAGCCATTGAGGTTCCACATTGTCTCCAACAAGAGCCCAGACTTTCTGTACCTGTACGTAACGCTGACAGTTTAGGAGTTATGAAGAACCTTATAAATTTTTTTCCATCCAAACTCTCTCCAAGATCTTGAGTTTGTAGTTTTTGCATGTATAACACATATATCTGTCCTGTCTTCCTCTGTTATTTGTAAGTCTGACTCTTTTTCCCATTTTTGTTTTAAATGGACATTGTTATAGAACAAGGATTTTAAATATTATTTAACTGTTCTGTCGTGGTTCCTTAAAACCGTAAGTGGGCATTTTATATCAATAAACACTTTTAACCATAATGTTACAATGAAAACACTTGTCAGAATGGCTCACTATCTCTTTTCTTATCGAACAGGCAAAAAACTGCAGAAACACATCAGTTTGTGTTGGTCTAGCTTATTCTTATATTTGTGTAAAAAAAAAATTCTAATAACTATGGCAAATAGTGATAGGATAGCATTCTAAAATGACCCACACCCATACAGCATGATTGCGAATGTTGTTATACAACAGTTCAATAAACAAGACGTTTATATTGAGTAACTTACATTTTAGACACAATATTGGCAGCTACTTTATCTATTTTTGCTGTTTAGTTGCAAAGGCAGCAACATAGTTTGATTCCTGAAAGGATTGTTTTGTTCCTAAATGAATCAGCGTGTTTGAACACCAATTTGCAGCATATATATATATATATATATATATATATATATATATATTACTTTCAAAACCCAAATATCAGCTAGTGAACTGATATATTGGTTTATTACATTATTACATTTGATCACAGCATTTAGTCCCAATGAGGCTCTGTAAGAGGAAGTATCAGCAAGATTTACTTTACACTCCGTACTGTAAACTCAGCATACTCACCGGTCCAGAACCAGCTCCTCCAGCTTGTGTAGGTCACAGGCGATATACTCCAGGGCCATGTCAGTGATGCGGGGGCACCAGGACAGATCCAGACTCCGGAGCTTCCTCAGATTCTCGGCAACCAATTCCACGCCATCGTCTGTGATCTTCGAGCAGCCTGACAGGCTGAGGGAGGTGAGGTTTGGCAGGCTGTGCACCATGTTAACTACGCCATGGTTGGTGATCTCCCAGCAGGAGTTCAGACGCAGCGTGTGGGTGGTGTAGCCTTGCTTGGCGGTGAAGTAGGCCATGGCCGTGTCGGTCACGTGATAGGCCTGCAGGCTGAGCTCTGATAGGTTGGGAAGGAGCTGAGAAATGGCGGCGATGGCGTC